ATACTGCTCGTATTCTGCCTAAGCCTTGAACTCTGGACTGTCTTTTGACGAATGGAGTAAAAAAAAAGCTTAAAAAATGTGAAAAATTTTTTGAGGTTTTTTTTTTAAATTTAACCACCACACGCAATATAAAATACACAGTAAGATGTTTTGCGTGCCGTAACGTATTAATTGACCCAAATATCTTGTTTCAAGTTCTACTAAAAAGTATGCCGGGTAAAAATTTCTTTTAAATTTTATCTCAATATGTTAGTACTGGTCAGATTGTATAAACTTTTTTTTCAAAAATTGGTACAAGTGTCAAAACAAGTGTCAAAATAAGGAAAAAAACACAATTTTCCGTCGTTTCTCTTTAAAAATTAGAACTAAATATAATAAGAAATGGATAAGTGAACCAGAGGTAAAAGATAAAAGCACACAAAAATCAAATATATTTTGACACTCATACAGCTCGAATCCACTGGAAATCCATGAGTCCTACAAAATTTTTTGCCGTTAGAAGTTCAAAATATTTCATCAACCGTTTGTTGTTAAATGCTCGCAGAAGTTAAAACCCCAGATTCAATCACCATTGCTTTTTTTATCAGACTTTGATCCTTTTCGAAGCCCAAAACAAATCAGGGCATCCGTCTTTGTAGCTCAGGCATAGAAGGAGGCCGTCTGATGACCCGGAAATCTGATCTTACCACTGCGCGTGCTCGTCGTTCAACCTGACAAATCCAGGGCTGACCTAAATTACAGTCAATTTCAGTCAAGTCAAACTCAAAAAATTTAGGTCAACACGAACATCCGTTTCTTGTGCATGTAGCACTGAAGAATCTTCCAACAGCAGCGATCTATTTTGCGAAAATATAACAAAAACGAAAAAATGAAAAACGAAACAAAAACGACAGTTTGGGTGACTCATTTCATATCCATTTGCTGAACGTTTATACAATTGCGACAGAGATTGTGCCTTTATGGCAGTATAACAATGCTTAAACCAAAAAAAAAAAAATTTGTTCAAGTGCCTAAAGTTATTTTGAATTTTGTTTGAACATCCGAAATTGCTGACAAGTATAAATGGACGGAAGTTGTATCACTCCAATGTTCGACCAGATGTCAAATTTCGACCAAAAATCCATAGCCGACAGGGTGACCACTTTTTTGAGAGAAAAATAGTGACTATGACGTTTTTCGAATTTTTTGTCGGCCTTTTTTTTTTAGGTCGACCAAATTAATTTTTCCCTATTTTGGCCAAATGTTCTGCGCCGCAGGCAAAATTTTGAATAAGCAGGCTGAAAAAAGTCATTTTAAAGCACATTTTTGAAAAACGGATATCTCAAAATAGTGCAAAGAGGGGACCTTTTAAACAATATTAAAAAACAGAAAGCTTTGTTGTAAATAGTGACTTTTAGTGACCATTGAAAAAATAGTGACCTATTAGTGACCAATAGTGACTGGTCACTATGACCAATTGTTCACCCTGATAGCCGAACAAAATTTTGCAAATGGGTAAATGTATTGAGGTTTTTGCACGAGAAGAAAAGTCACCCTTAATGGGTCAACGGTGACAACAAAAATATCCGAAAGCAACGGCCGAAGAAAATATGTCGGCGAACTGAGCGGTCCTAGCAATCCACTACATTTTAATAGATCTCTTACCTCGACACATGATGTGGTGTTTGAACCATCGGAACGTGAGACGGTCGCCAGGGTTTCCGTAGTTGAACTGGGTGGGGACATCTGTGAACATGGGGAACATGAATGGGCTCATTGCCTGTGTTGGGAAGGAGGAGTCGACCTTGAAATGACCTCTTCCAAAGCCTATCTCCAGAATGAAGTTCACATTGCATAGACTGCTGTACTTGGCCTGAAGTTTGAAACCTTCGTTAATCCTTTGTGACATGTGTCGTTTAATTTATTTTTAAAGCCAAATTGTTGACTTTGACCATTTTGACCATATTGGTGACCTTGAGCAATCTATTCGGTCAAAAATAGGTGCTCTTTGGGTTAGATTGATTTTAACACGTTTTTTTTGCGTGCTGAAATCAGTATTAAACAAAAATCCGATGTTAAAATGAGCAGTTTTGTGTTGATTAACTTGTACTTAGTAACAAATCTCCTTCTTTTCTTTTGCAAAGGAGCGATAGTTAAGAGAGCCACTATAAAAAATGATTAAATGTTATTCTTCATAGGCAGACTTGAACCTTTATATACACGATCCCTCCGAAGATTGATGTTGACGTTTTTTCATTATCCATGTTTTCTCAATACTTTTAATCGATTATAACTTAAAAACTCATTAAAAACAATTACCACTTGGGACTGTTTTTCGACTGTTTTTGTCTTGGGCTGTTTTTTTGTCCATTACCATACTTTTACGGACTGTTTTCTAGTGTTCTGTTTTGTCAAGGACCGTTTTGTACAGTAAACACTGTCTGAAACAGTTGAAAAAAGGATCTAATAAGTTATCAAAACTGTTCGTGCCTTGATGTAGTTGAGATGTTTGCCTTGGTCCCTGTAGTCTGTGAGTTTGTCCAAGTACTGTTCGGGAGACAATTGCAGTCGTTTGAGCCCATGCTTAATGTATATGTGGTTCTGCCGGTCACAACAGTTGGCTGAAAATAAGTCATTTTTTGAAAACCATCTGAATGTTGTTCAGCATTTTTACAAGCATAGTTCTGTATGATAAAGGGGTCAGTTGGTAGTTGAGGGAATTGCAACTTTCTCGTTTGATAGTCGCTATGACTTTCCCGTTTAAAAACTCAAACAGAGATTTTCAACTTCATTTTTTGGAACCTGGTATCAAACATTTTTTAATGATAGCGATAATCCAGAAACCTTAAAATCAAACATAAATGAGTTCGTAAACAGTTCCATTTTTAAGTAGATACCAATTAAATGGTAAATTTGGCGAAAAAACTTTGGCAGGTTAAAAAAAATAAGAGCTTAATAGTAGTTATATTTTACACAATTTAATGATTATTCATTCCATCAGATGCAAAAAGTTGAAGATATTGGGAGCAGCGAAAAAATTAAGTAATTAAGCAGCAAAGCCAAATAAAATTTCCATAAAAAGCTGAATAACAAAAAAGAATAATTCCAAGAAGCTGACCGAAAAACAAACAACAAACAACTAGAGTTCGAAGACTCCCCGAAAAAAGTGACTGCTTACGAAAGAAATCCGAACAACCAAAAAGAAACAAACCAAAAAATTTTAAAAATTTTTAAAAGTGCATTGTGAAATGAGCGATATCAATTGCTTAAGAAACTATCATAGTGAAAACCAATCTGCCAATAAAAACACAGGAAGGATATTACCATTTTTAGTGAAACGTGGAATGTATCGCCTAAAAATGTTTTATTCGGAAGCTGAAATTTTTCATAAATAATAGTAATGCACCATTCCTTATTACAAATTACTATACATCAGAAGAACTAGAAACAGAAAACAGGTTGCTCTTAAGTCAACGTGAAATCTTCTCAGTGGGAGTTGATCCAACATAATCAATGCAAGATAATTTTTGTGAAATTCGCTATTTTGGTGAAATTATATCGCAAACTGGTAAAAACAACAAGCTGATCAACCAAAGCAATTAGTTGAAACAATTTTTTTTTTGCGATATCAAAAATTCTGACGATATATGAAGACGAAGTACACAGAAACCAAAACGACTGATTTTACATTTACAAATCAAACAAGACTGCTCGTATCAGGGTAATAACATGGAAAATAACATGGAGTAATAACATGGAAAATTTAAAATGTAAAGAAAACAAAATTAATTTTTTTTTTAATTTGGTGAGATTTTTTAAAATGAAAACACGCCATATTACGTACAAATTGATAGATTTTGCGCCTATTAACAAATCAGTTATGGCACGTAAGCTTCTTGAACCAATTTGAAACAATTTTTAAGACGAATTAAATCTCCGCTTACGCGTGTTAATAGCGCGAAGTATATCGCGCGTTAATAGCGCGAAATATATCGCGAGTAAATTGTCCCAAATTGAACAAAATAGTAATCTCTAAACTATCATAATTTTACAAAAAATGATCACAGGTGAAATATCTTTTCAAATTCAAGCTCAGCACAACAATAGCGTTCGAATCATGAAAAAATTCCGACAAAATGGCTAGTTAAAAAGTCAAAATTTATTTGAAGAAAAAAAAAACCCACCCCGATATATTCCGTTATTTTTGCTACAAAAGTCGAAATAATGAGGACTGCCTGTTGCAGCGCAAAAAGCACAGAATGTCTCCTCTACTTCGTTAATAAACTTAGAAAAATTATTCAAACTGGTTTCGTTTTTTTTGCAAGGTAAGACGAGAGAGAGGACGCAAGCGAATTAGACATAACGGAAACTTAGACGATAACTCTTTGTCTATTCAAAAAATAAGAGCTGGGCCAACAAACCTTTTTGCTTAGAATGAAGCTACGCAATTACCAAAAAGAGTACATGATCACAGAACTGACCAAAATGATTATTGTAAATTAATTATAAAATATTAAACCGAAAAAGTAAAAGTAAATTTTGAATTGCTTAAATTATACAATTGTGACATCACCAGCGGGTTTATGGGGGGAGGGGGCGTGTTGGCCGGATGCTCCCTCTCAGGGATTTGACCCCCTGCCAATTCGAACCCCTGCGGATTACCCTTTGTAGTATTTTGAGATATCCTAAAGTTTTTCTAGAGACGCCTTCGGTGACAAAACTCTAAATTTGAGTGGGAGCGCGTACCGAAAAAAAACGCGAGTTTTAGTCAAATTTTTCCAAAAAGTGCTTAAAAACGTTTTTTTTTGGTCTGTTTTTCAAAAATTAGTCTGTAACGCAGAAAATAGGGTCTTTAAAAGATTTGGGACAGTTCAGAAAATCAAATTGGTCGACCTAAAAGAAAAATTGACAAATTTCTTGAACTTTTTGAAAATCCGCACCCCTCCCCCTCGAGAAAAATCCTAAATCAGCCCCTGTGTGATTTAGCTCTAAATTGCTCGTCGTCTAACTTTCTAAACCCCCCATTTGTAGCTTAACTGCGTGCATTTAATCTGTTTAATGACAGAAAACTTGTTGGATGAAATATTTCACGATACTGCCATTATTAAACCAGGATATACTTTTATTGAGGAAAGAAAATTACTGAATTCGTTAAATGAAAAAAGGTCGGGAAGTTCATGTTTTCATCAAAAGTAAAAAGAAGATATTTCTCAATAATTACTCGATGGATGAAGAAAATGACGGAAATCTCTGGTGATTTATCTGTTTCGATGTCTCGCTATTATTTGGATCCCAACAATCAACAAAACACAACCAACTAGGATTAAGACAACACCCAAGAGAATCCATTACCAGAGCTGAATGAAGAGTTGAGAAACTTAAAACATTTATTTAAGTCAGATTATTTGGGTATACTGTGTAGAGAAATCTTTATTTAAACATAACTCAGGCAAGAATTTTTTCGAGACCGACACAAAAATTTTGGAGCAAAAACTAAAAGACTTGGAATTCGATTTGTGAATAAGTCGATAAACTGAAAGATGTCGATGGTGCAAATGATAGAAACCTTTTGACATTAGTACCAAACTAGACATATTGTACCCAAAGAGAGAACATACATAACAGCAAACAACCCTTCTTTCATGAGTCCATAACCGAAATAACTGATACGAATAGAGATAACACTTTAACACCAAGAAACGTTTTGGAACAGAGCGGAACAAATATCGACGACAAAAGCGACGATTACCCAACAAAATATTCAGAAGTGTAAGGCCATGAAAATTAGAAAGAAGTGGTGGGACCTTGAGAATAGCTCCTGCAAACCACTAAGAGTTGTTGTTGATATAATTGTTGAGGCAAATAGCAGCACTTTGATAAAATTTTAGTGAAAAGATGAAAAATATATCAAATCATTATCACTAAATCTATGTTTGCTCAATGATTTTAGTTTCAACCATCAGCACAACTTAGCTGTATTGGTCTCAAGTGGCAAGTAAAGTTTAAACGTTTGATTCTATGACTGTTGGGTATTTTTTGTTGTCACCCTAAAATACTTAAAATTGTTAACAATTCTCATAGATTTAATTTTCTTGGTGTCATAGACTGCCTCGTTATCAGTACTCAAACTATCGGGGAGAGTAGGCTCAGCCTTTTGAAGTCCATTATTCCGCATCGCTGTCCTGAACCGCAAATTTGTGACAGCAAATTTTGATCTAGCGGGAAGATTTTCAGCCTTTTCTAATGGAAGTCGCCAGTTTCAAGTCCGTCGTTGATTAAAACTGCTAGCTAACAACTTAAAAATCTTAAAAATCTTAATGAGTTTCAAAAGGCTGATCCTACTCTCCCCGATGGGCCGAGCTCTGATAACAGAGCAGTCTGCGACACCAAGATGACGGAACGGTGTGAAACAAGACCCAATGCCATTCGATGTAGCGTGCGTACATGCCATGAGTTTCTTTGACAAAGAATCTCGTGGCATGTCAGGAGTTTCTTTGACAAATTCAATCGCTGGCAGTGGTCAAGTACCAGCCAGGTGAAAAAGAGTGATGCTCTGAAGTTGCAAAAGTTTTCGGCTGAACATGGAGCACCGATAGAGGTGAGTAAACGTCAAAAGTATAGCAGATTTTGGAAGAAAGTATAGGATAACTTCCTAGGTGATGCAACAGTTCACCGTGTCCAAACCCCTTACACGAAAAATGGTATAGCAGAGCATTAAACAAATGATCACAGAGATGAATTGGTGTCTACTCGCCTATTTGCTGATGAGTCTAGAGACCAGACAAGTAGTGCGAGCAAGAAACGTAACAAACGATGAACCCTTCTGGTGCAATGCAAATGCTGGTGCTATCAATCAAGAAATGCATTGAAATTGAAAAATTGAGCACGACGACCAATGAATCACTCAGCACGTCAACTGAGGCTGATACTGTAAATTCAGTGAAAGTTTTTGAAGTGGAACTGTTTAAGGAGAAACAATGGTTCTGCATTCCACTAAGTTTCCAGTCCAGAGGATAATTAGGACAAGGAGCCCACTCAGGCGATATGGAATGGCGTGCTCTCATGCTTTATATATTGGAGTCCAATAGCCAAGAGACTCCTCTGAAGCTATGCCTGTACCCGAAAAGACGCATTGGTTGACTTCCATGGCTTCGTAGGTGAACTCTTTAGAAGCCATTGGAACGTGGACACTTCTTGATAGACCAAACTCCCACAAGGTTACTCATTGATGCTGGGTTCTTGCTGTGAAGCGAAATGTGATGGATCAGTGGAGTGGTTGGAAGTCCATTATGTAGTGAAGGAGTCCAATCAAGTGGAAAGACTGGCGTTCAATTTGTGGTTTGCTCAGACCTGTGAACTTGAAACGAGGAGGAAACTATTTTTTCGAGGACATTCTCTGATAACAGCAAAAGTGTACACGGAGCAGCCAGAGGGATTCAGCAGCGGTAGCAACCAAGTGTGCTTGCTAGAACGAGGTCTCTATGGACTGAGGTAGGGTTGTTACCAGATACTGAGGACTTCTGTTCTCGAGGAAGGGTTTACTAGAAGCAGCAATGTTTCTGTTTGTTTAAGAGTAAAAGAACAGAGGGTGTAATAATCTAGGTGCCTGTTTTGGAGATGACGCCATCATTGGACGTAGTGGTCAAGAAGCATTTGAAAAGATGAGGTCCCTTATTTCCAAACAATTCAAGACATATGACAGAGGAGCAATTTAAAGGTTCCAGTTGATGCAGTTGAAGCAGTCACCTGGGCCAGTAACTGTAAACCAATCACGCTGCATCGATGAAGAGTTTTGACCTAGCTGACTGCAGTGGACATCAGCGCGTAAATGTTGAAGAAGTACTGCACTGAAGCCGGGTTAGCAGAGGCAGCGTCATGAATGCCGAACTCTACTAATGCATTGAAATCATAGTTTTCTTAACAACGGAGAAAGCAAGGCTGGATATTCTGACTACTGTGACTCAACTCTTAAGTGGCTACAACGGAAGTTCTGTTTCATTAAAAAGAAGCTAAGATCTAGAGCTGTACTACACCATAGATGCTGACTGTGTGCGACTGAAGGGATCCGCAGATGCTGAATGGGTTGGAGATGTGAATGATAGGTCAACTAAGGGCTACAGCTTTCATTTGTAGAAGAAAGGGGAGACAATATGTTAGAACTCTGCGAAACAAACAATTGTAGTCATATCTAGCAGTGAAGCTGTGAACCAAGCAATATTATCAGTGGTTTAAAATGCTCTATATTTGGGCGAAGTACGTGGGCTTGATGAGTAGCGGACCAAACAGTTATCAAGGAGGACAGCCAGAGCTGCATCAAGATGTGCAGGAACTCTTTCGTGCACATCGGTGTGAAGTACCTTTTAATTCGAGAAAGATTTGAAGATAAGACTGTCGAACTCCAGTATTGTCTTACTGAGATAATGAAAGCCAATTTATTATCGAAAGCCCTGAGAAAGGCTAAGGTTGATCAAGATCGTCAAACAATGATGGATTGTAGCCTGAATTAGACAAGACCAATTAACTGTAAGTGGGGTGCTGACATCAAACTTTTCCAAGATTAGACAGATTGATTAGAGAAATTAATCTGGCGGATGTCAAAACTGATTAAACTCAGACAAAGTCAAATAGTGACCACAAACTAAATAAATAGTCAGTATTTAGAAATCTTTTTTTTTGTAGTTTTCTTAGTTTGTCATATCATTTTCTTCATTTTCTCAATTCATTCGTCCACAACCCCATACTGTTCTCAACTCTCACTTCTCACCTCAGGTTCAATCTCTGTATCTAACCCCAGCCATTTAATCCTTGCTACTCTTACTCTGAGTCATAACAGAGAGCAATTATTTTTATGTCGCACAATACGCCAAGCACTCCCACGAAATGATATTGTGAAATTAGGTGGCAAACAGACTTTGTAATTGAACAGGAATTCGATCAAGAAACAAAAGGGCAACCAAAAACCTACTTCGTCTGGTGTGAAAAAACTTCAAAATAATATAAAAATACTAACCTTTGTATTAATCAATTCAAGTAAATCTACATTTTTTAACAAAAATTTTGAAAAGGGTTGTAAATCGAATATATTACCAGCGACATAGCTTTTGTTTTTTTTTGGATTGGATAATTGCTTTGATTGCTGATTCAAAAGAAAAAAAATGATATGTTCAGAAAAACAAAACTTCAATTTCACCCAGTTAAAAAAATTTAAGAGGTAATCGACAAGTTAGTTGGGCCTGCTAATCAACGCACATGCTAATAGGCTGGCCACTCATGCGGGCGTCAGCGTGCACTTGATAACAGAGTTTAGTAACTTTCTTGTTGAAAAACAGGGGAATCCGCTGAGAAATTGGAGAAAAAAGATTTCTGATCTCAAACGCCGGATATTTAATAATTTTGAACTAAAATAAATATGAAGAGAAAGAGGCATTGTTGGGATTGAATGCAAAGCAAAAATAGAATTATTTGCTTTGCATTTAGGGGGTAAATTGGAAAAAAAAACAGATAAATCTAAAAGATTTTCGCTCAACAAAATAACTGAGTCTGGAATCGCAGAAACCACAATTATTATGATTGTTATAATGATTATGATTATGATTATTATGATTATGATTGTTATGATAATAATTATTATTAAATCACCAAAAGAAAAAACTATCTTATCCGGCAAAATCAGCTTTCATTTTTTTTTGGATAGCAGGCCATTCATTTCTAAAAACCGCTTCAAAAACCAAACCATGAAATTACAATTCAAAACAAATATTAATCGATGGGTCAGAACAACAGGGCATTGATAAGTAACTGATTCCTTTTTTGTATGAATTTTCCGGTATGTCGAACAAGTAAGTTCAGTAAGACGAAGCTGAGAATTGGTCTAAAAATGAAATAGCTCAGAACAATTGTTTCTCGACCTTGAGGTAATTTTATTTCGATTTTGCAACACTGCCGGTTATTAATTATTTGAAATTTATTTGATTTTTGAGGCAGTCAAAATAATTCGGACAAAAACGCACGGTACATCATAGTTTTTCGGCGAATGGGGCTGTGTCAAAACCATTACATGACGATTTATCCGATTCCAATTTATCCTTTACCTATTTACCCCTTGCCACTTTAATCTACGTTCCAACTTAAGCTATTCCAGTTTACCTTACGCTCGTTATAACAAAAATTTACTCTATCTCTTGGAAGAATTCCGTAGAAAATCTTCAAAATGATATCAAAGAACCATTAACTTTGATTATAAAGTAGTTGCCGCATGTGAATAAAATTTCAAATTTCAATTAAAAATAACTCGTACGAAGTAAAATGTCATAAAAACACGAACAAGCAAAATTACATTTGACTAACTTACAATTGCAGCGAGTTGTATCTGTTTCTTGAATGAGCAAAAGTCATAACAAAACAAGTCGATATAGCTTAGTGGATAATGCATGTGTTTTAAAATCAAAAGTTTGAAAGATCAACTCACCAAAAAGTCAAATTTTTTATTGAAATTCAAAAATTACTCTAGGTTTGACTAGGAAAAGACTAAAGAGCCTTTACGTTGTCGCAATTGCCAAAAATAAGTACTCTTTCGGCATCGGGCATAAGTTCTTTCTACTTTAGAGCTTGCTTTGTCAATTTGGAGCCCTATTTATTGCAGATCGAGATGGTAAAGCTAATTGCACTGTTTTTTTGTTCGCCACGGTTCGTGCGCCCGATCGCCCAGAGAAAGCTTCACTTCGTGGAAATCTCATTATTGCCAAATGTGATAGCTGTCACCTTGCTTTTATGGGAGTGCCCTCTCTGGTATTCCAATATAGTGGTCTCTTTATGTGCGAAAAATAGTGATTATGATTTCACTCATTTGAACGATCAAACTGAAACTCATCTCTTTAATCCTTAGCATCATCGTGCTTTTTAATTTTTTCAAGTTGAAAAATATACTTTACTCTAGGGTCAGACCATCAGCTAATTTTAATAAGTCTCCCTCTAGCAGATGATGTTACTTTTGCTGCGAAAAACTTTCATAAAATTTAACTAAAACGAAAGCACTGAAGAAAACGAAAAATCTAAAATCTCAAAAACGGTTTTTATGAACGACTTTAACGTCGCCGAGAAGTTTTGAAGCAACACTTTTCCAAAGGCGGCCCGACGCCGTATTCAAGCAACTTTTCACAGTTTCTATACACCTGTAAAAAAACCAAAACTATAAGAAAAAATACAAAAAGAGCGCAACCGTATCAGCCTAGAGCAACCCTCAAACCCCATTTTTAATATCTTAAACCAAAATTTGGTGACAAAAACCTTGAGCATTTCCAATGTTCGTTACCATTTATTGCCTCTAGCTTCTTGCTATATTCATGACCAGCAATTATAAGAGTGCGATGCGGTAATTTCCAAGAAACTCGCTCATTTTTGTTGCAATTTTGAATAATAAAGTACACAGAATGAAACAATTTTAGCATTCATCCTACCCTTAATTGTGAAAATGGGGTATTAAATTTTGTTAATTGTGATAAAATAAATTCTTTAGGCAAAGCGCTAAATTGCGTCTTCACAACAATTAACTTGAATTTGCGACTCAATTGAGTCCTAAAAGCTGGTCTTAAATGAGTGAACACGTGCTGGTTAAAAATTTATAATTCGGGTTTTAATTATTACATCAAAAGAAAAACTAATTGCGACACAATTGAGCTTAAGATAAATTAGCATAGGATAAGAAGTTGGAGCATAGTTTAAAATGGCATAGAGCAATTTTATGAGGACAAGATGTGAAAGGGTAATATGTCCTGCTACCGTCAAAACAAACATAGAAGAAAATAGGAAGCTGAAGATGACTACAATTTAAATTGTTGCACACTTTTGGATACAAACCTATTATTGACGTTATGGCCAAAATAAAAATGATTTTTTTTCACATCAAGTTGAAAACTTTGACAGCACAAAAAATATCAATAGGAATCACTTAGCAATTTCAAGTTGTACGTTGATAGTTTTTATGAACTTAACTGAGATGTAGTGAAAAAACAATTCTCGAAACACGTCATCAGTGTTTAAATGTGTTATAAAGCATATGATTGCCCAAAAAAAATGAGATCAGCTTAAAAAATTAAATTACAACATTAATCTCCAACGCTAGTAGTCGAACTAAAATAATTAGGGGATATGACTATCGATCAAGGACACCAGAAAATTACAGTTGCAAACAACATCAATGTCAATTAGTCTACAATTAGTTGTAGAAATATCAAAATGTGGAGGTTGGAGAAGGGAAAAAAGCCGTCTTATGTTCCTTACCTATAGTTGTTGGGTTTACAAAGAAGTTGATACTGCGGAACATGGGGGCTGTGAGAGATGTGAACTGAATTTTGAGTCTTTCCCTCTCCCATGCAGACATCTCATTCTCCTCATCGTCCCAACCCTCATCAGTTGCATATGCCTCGAGGCAGTAGAAGCCACTAAAGGCAGAGGGGGGAGGCTTTTGAGACAATTTTTCCTTCTGGCCCAAACTGTAAGCTTTTACAAGTAATTTTTTCTTATTGCCCGATTGCTGTATAAAATGGCATGCAACCCAATGAGGTCATGACAAACATATTTGGTCGCCATTTAAAATCACTCGTTACGCAACAAAATTGATGTTTAGGTGAGGTGAGGTGAGGTGAGGTGAGGTGAGGTGGGGGGGGGGGTGGGGTAGTGGGAGTTGCAATTTGATTTTTCTGATTTTTCTAGACATTACCAAGATTTTCTCTATTCAACTGCTCGAGTAAACGGGACGGGACGCGCCGATCACATCTATCACTAGGGGCGGATCTAGGATTTTCTCGAATGGGGGTGGATTTTCAAACGTTTTCGAAAATGTTATCGACCTTTTTTTTTTGATCGACCGAATTGATTTTCCGAGCTCTCCCAAAGCACTTAAAAGACCCTATTTATGTCAAATTTTCTGCGCCGCAGGCAAAATTGTTAAAGTCGTAAGTTTGGAAATTCAAAAGGTTGTTAATAAGTTTTATTATAGGCAAACTGTTAGGCATCAAATCGAAATCTTACTGCACTCTTTTATTTCAGATCCCATCGGACATTAGAGATCGCAAGGTCAAGATAGCAGGTCCCCAGACAGAAAGAAGAATTGATAGCACTTACATAAACTCAAACTGGTGTCTATCTAGAAGAATTGATAGCACTTACATAAACTCAAAACTGGTCCCTATATCATTCGGGCAACCACAAATAAATTTTAGCGTAGATAAAATTTATCAACTTTATGTTACTGTATTGTATTGTATAAATGTACTAGTTGAGTTTTTTAGTTTTGTTGAGTTTTCTCACCCGCCAAACCTCTCTTAAGGTTACTTTTCTCCTTTTCTCGTCTTGTCGATTCCATCATTTATGTTCTATGCGGTGGATCATAACCCCCCCCCCCCCCCCCATTTTGTCAACTCCGCGTCTCTGCCGTGTTGATTTTCGCGTCGCCGTTTCGTGCTGATTTTTATTGCGTTTTCCACCGACGGGTCGTGGTGAGTTCCCACTAACCGACGGTACATCCTGTCCTTCGTTCGCCGCACCTAGGGTTGGTTCCCTTCGTCTGATTTCCCACTCACTATCGTGTTCGTCGTCGTCGTCTTCGCTCTCGTCCGCCGAGTATTCAACTATTCGCTGTTTTGTTGATTTTCTTGCATTTTCCATTGCGGCCCGGTCCTTCTCCGCTTTTCGTTTATATTTGTTCGAATCGTTTGAGGCCGGTGTACTGGTCACGTTTCTACTCGGTCCAGGGGTGCACTCCTCGCTTTTATTCCCAATTAGCCTTTCTTCAGCCGCCGATCTAAAAGACACACCACTCCGCCTTAGTAACGACCCTTGTTTCATTTGCACCGTATGTTTAGTCATTTTGTCAATTTTTAATGGCAAACGTTTATACCTCCTTGGGTCTTTTGGATCCGTCTTCCCGGTCCTCTGATACACCGTCGTTGAACTTGCTTTATGCCTTTTCAGCCATGTTGGGGTCTTGGGTGGGCCTAGTTCCTTGGGGTTCACAACTTCCGGAGCCTTAGGATCCGCTACCTCGTCATCGTGCAACATGATTGGAGCTTTCCTATTTTGAGGGGCGAACACTAAGTCACTTCTCTTCTCCCAATCTAGGGTAAGTTCAACAACTGGGAGGTTTCCCGCCTTGTCTAAACAAGGTAACTTTTGTTTAACGACATTGTTCCAGTTTAGGTTTTTTAATGACGATTTTTTCGTTAAGTTTCGCAGTGCCGTATTAGCTTCTCGACCATGGTATGCTTCGAATGGCGTTAGTTTAGTTGTAGAGTGTGGCACGAAACGTAATGCACTAAGCGCACGGGAGATCATCTCCCCAAACTAGTAGTTTTTATTTTCCTGGAGATAAGTCAACACGTAATTTTTTATCGACCCAATAGTCCGTTCAACCATTCCTGTTGCGCGATGGTCCCTAACCGGAGATTTAATAAGTTCAATACCTTCGTAGTTACAGAAATTTTGAATTTTGTTAGAGAAAAACCCCGTGGCTTGATCCATGTGCAATTTCCTTGGGTGTCCATGAGTATTTATGTACTTCCTTAGGAATTTTAATACACTTTTTGATTTGTTGCTTGAACAAACATACGCCGACGGCCAATGCGAGAAAGTATCTACTGCTACAAGTACATATTTTTTCCGACCCCTAACATAGTTTACTGGACCCCAGAAGTCTAATTGGACCAAATCATTTGGTTCCTTAGGATTGTACGTTGCCCCCATGTCATTTTTGGGAATGTCTGGCTTAAGGTTTTTACCTGCTTCTAAACAACTTTTGCAGTATTTGGCTGTGGCCGCGATATTTCGGTGCATAAGGGGAATCCACACGTCCTTTGCCGCCGCGAACATCTTATCCCTCCCATGATGGTTATAATGGAGACGATTTAGAATTGCTGATGATAGGTCCTTCGGTATCGCTAACCGGCCGTCCATCCACAGGCAATTCTCCCTTACTGCGAAATCGTTGTAATGCTGGGCGTAGTATTGTCCTAATCTTGTAATAATCTCCTTTGCTCGTGGGTTCCTGTCTCTGATGTTGTCTCGGATGGTCTTCATAATTGGGTCTTTTTCAATGTTTGCTTCGATTAATTTTAAATTCAAAACTTCCGGGTGTTCAACTTTCTTCACGATTTTACTATCCGACGGCACTATGGAATAGATCCATTTTTCATTTTGTACAAGTGGGTACGATAAACCGGGGAACTGATGTGGAAAAGATATAATTGTATCCAGTTTTTTTAGAATTAGTTTTTCAGGTGGTAGTTTTTCAGATCAAGTTTTTCAGGTGGTATCATTTCAATATCGGAATCCGAGCTAACGCTGGGAGGTTGACTTAGGCGGTTTAACACAACATTTAGATTAACATTTCCCGAATTAGTTGATGTGTTGACTATTGTCGAAGTTGGAGGATCATTCTTTTCTGGCGAATTACTCATGTTATTTCTCTCGGACTTGCTACTGTATTTTTTCAAAGTAACTGGCTTTTCACTATAATCTTTACTACTGTAAATTTTCAAAGTAGGTGGCTTTTCACTGCAATCTTGTAAGATGGTTGGTTCGCACTTATAATTTTTTGACACCGAAGGTTTGTACTTGTAATTTGTTGAAATGGAAGGGTTTCGAGGGTATTGAATCAATTTTTTGTGTTGGTTACTGTAATTTAAGCAATGAGAACAAAGTCTGAATCTCGTTCTTCGGTATTTGCATATTTCCTCCGGTATGCAAATATCTCGACGCTAATTGGTTAACCGTCGGTTGCATGTAAACACGCCCTCTATTGAGCGTTTGTGCTCACGGTGAATATTTGCATAATCGTCTTTTCTTACATTCTCATTGGATGAAACTGCTTTCGTTGTGTCGAAACATGACTTTACGCCCCCTACCGTCGGTTTTCGCTGAATGTTGTTCACGTCTTGACCCCTACGTTTCATTTTGTCCTTAGGCTTCAACGCCGCGTTTATCATTCTTATCTTTGCTACTGTAAAATTTTCATCGTAATGGCTCGTCTCGGGTGCCTCTGCGGACGGAAACCGAGACAGATAGTCAGCCATCCCCATTTTTTGGCCCTTGTCGATGTTCAACTTTAAAATTATATGGCACCAGATGATCATACCAACGAGTTAAGCGACTGAAAAATGTTTTATTTCCTTTTGGTGACGAATTCAACAATGTGAGTAGCGCTTTATGATCAGATATCACTGTGAAATACCGACCGTATATATAATTCCGAAATTGTTCCGTGGCCCACACTACCGCGAGTAATTCCAATTCGTTTGTGGAGTATTTTTTTTCAGCCGGATTAAGGTAACGAGATGCAAACGAAATCGGATGCCATCCGGATGCGCCATACTGTTCTAAAACGGCCCCTAGGCCATCGTGGCTAGCGTCACAAATTATTCTAGTTTCACGGTGAATGTCGAAATGTCGTAATTCGACGATATTTTTTACAAGCGATTTTAGTTGTTGGAACGCATTTTCGCACACGGGTGTCCAAACAAAATCATTATTTTGGCTCAGTAGTGGCCTTAACGGTGCGCTTAACTCGGCAAGTTTGGGTAAAAATTTGTGTAAGCTATGTAACGAACCCATCAAGGATTTCAACTGCTTTCGAGATTTTGGGGTTTTCAAGTCTTCTACAGCTTGTGTTTTTCTTACTAAGGGCGTTATACCACTTTCCCCAATTCGAAATCCAAGCCATTCGCACTCAGTTTTCGCAAATTCGCATTTTCGCAATTTTAACGCGACATTGGAGACGTCCAGTTTTTTCAATATCTTTTCCACTAACGCAATGTGTTCGATTTTAGTTCCTTTTGAAGCAATTAAGATATCATCAATAAACGCGTTAGCCTGGGGGAACTCCTTCAGTAAATTATCTATTACCTTCTGGAATTCCGCCGGCATTGACGTAAGTCCGTAAAATCCGTTTTTAAAACGATAACTCCCCGTGGATTTTCCGCCGACTAATGAGAAATTGCATTGCTCGCTTGTTTTTTGTTCTAATGCGACTTGTCCGTACGCATATGTGAAATCCAATGTTGTAAAGTATACATTCCCCGATTTTTTCTCCGCAATAATCTGACTTACTCCGTCAATTAATTCGTCAATATTCGGCATCTGGTACTTATTTTTGTGTACCTGTTTATTCAATTCTCTTGATTCTAGTGCTAATTTTCTGCTTCTGTCCTTTTTTACTGTAATGACGATAGGAGAGACGAAATACTTATCTGAGCACTCTTGTAATTTCATGATATGTCCTTCATTTATCAGCCAATGAATATCTTTATCCACCTTTTCTTGTAGACTGATTGGCACCCTACGCCCTTTTTGTTGTATGGGCTTCAAATTTTCAAAAAATTCAGCTCTTACTTTCGCATTCCGGATCTTCCCTATCCTACTAAATAAATTTGGGTACAACTTACAGAAGTATGTTTGCAATTCGTCGTATTCCTCCTCCTCTTGACTGGTCCCTTCCCCTGTGATTCCCATCACTTTCTTCCTTTGAACTAGCTCGAGACCCAGGGTGCCCATCAGGTCGCGCCCAAGGATTGATTGATGATTTCCGGATATTACTGACATTCGCGCTGGTGCTGCCCAGCCATTTAGCGACATCATCACCTTCCCTAGTATGTTTATTCGGTTGTTGTTGTAATCCAGAAATTCCTCCTTTGACGGTTGTAGTTGAATATTTGCTTTTCCTAACGTTGTTTTTAGGTCATTTATGCTGAAGATAGTCACTGGAGATCCACTATCTATCCACAACCACATCTTCTTCCTGACACCTCCACTTGAACGCGGGCCCCAGGGATCTTTAATTCAGTCTCATTTTTCTTCCTTTTTATCGACATTACCAAGTAGTCATCCGATCCCGACGTCATGGACTCGTTTTCCCCACACGCCTGCTGATTCACCCACGATACTGGGTCTTCATTCAATTCGTTTACGTTCTGCGTACTTTGATGATGCTAATTTTCCTCCCTAACCAATCCGACTCGTCCACGTCCTCTCCATTGGTTAGTACCCCTTCTAATTCCTCGGCATGTTCGTTCAAAATGTCCCAGTTTTCGGCATGAGTTACATGTTGCTCCTTTTGCAGGACAGCTCGCAATGTGGTCCAGGGTAAAATTTGGCGCGTCGCAATTGTAGCACCTAAGGTTGTTTCCGCTTCCCCCACTACTACTTGATCCTTGGGTATATCCTCCACGTCCCGCACGTCCTCGGCCTCGAAAAAATCCTTGTCCCCTTCTTATATCATTTACTGGTTCTTGTTTTATTGAAATTGCCGGAGCTGATGAAGCTGGTTTTCCCGTATATGATTTGTATGCGCGCTCACCACGTTCATATGATAAGGCGATCCGGTACACTTCCTCCGGTAACTTAGTTGATCGTGACAATTCTCGTTGGCAGTCCGATTCCCGCATATTCATAATGAAAATATCACGAACGTTTTCGGCCGCGTTTGCAAAATCGCATCTTCCTGCTAGGGCACTTAGTTCCTCATGAAATTTTTCGAAAGTTTCGTTCTCACGTTGTTTTCGTCCGTAGAACAGTCTCCGCTCATGAGTTACATTCCTCTCACGTTGGAAAACATTTTGCATCTCATCCAGGACCCGTGGGTACCGTTCCGTTTTAATGTCAACCGTCGGTTTCCGTGCTTTGAATATGCGTTGCGCCTCATCTCCGATACAAAGATACAAGTTAGACTTTAACTTCTTTTCCGAATCGATACGGTTTTTTCCATTGACTTCTTCAGGCAACGCCGCGATAGCCGCCGCATTTAGAGTACTCGCAAAATAGAAATCATCGGGATCAATGTCGTATTTTGCTATCATCCCCCAGTGAAATTTAATTATCCACTCCTCCCATTATACTGGAGGTTCCGGCGTTCGTGTTTCCCAAAATGCTACTATATTTAATGGATTTTCCCCCTCCTTTTTTCTCTGCTGGCTGCGCCATGTTAAAGTCGTAAGTTTGGAAATTCAAAAGGTTGTTAATAAGTTTTATTATAGGCAAACTGTTAGGCATCAAATCGAAATCTTACTGCACTCTTTTATTTCAGATCCCATCGGACATTAGAGATCGCAAGGTCAAGACAGCAGGTCCCCAGACAGAAAGAAGAATTGATAGCACTTACATAAACTCAAACTGGTGTCTATCTACAAGAATTGATAGCACTTACATAAACTCAAACTGGTCCCTATATCAAAATCTTGAAAAACAGGCCAAAAAGGGGGTTTTTAGGCACTTTTTAGAAAATTTTGACCAAAAAAATTTCGTTATTTTGGCGCGCGCTCCCCCTCAAAGTAAGTATATATTGGCGCCAAAGGCGCCTTTAGAAAATTTTTAGGGTCCGTCACCAATTATGGATATCTCGGCAGGGGGTAGAATCCCTGAGAAAGAAGGCACGCTCCCCCCCCCCCCCCCCCCCGATAAAACCGTCCCTTTGGATCGGCAGGGGGTCGAATCCCTGAGAAAAAGGGCACCCCCCCCCCCCCCGATAAAACCGTCCCTGTCTATCACATTGAAAAAAAAAACGATTGACCGTAAAGATAATTGTTAAATGCAGTGAAATACAATGCTGGAAACAAGTAGCTTTTATCAAGAAAATATCAGTTGTTGTAACCTCAATTGCTGTATTTTTTCGATTAAGTAATTTATAGGGTTTTTGAAATCTACTTTAAGCTTAGACGCAGAGGTGGATTTAGGGGTGGGGGCGGACGCCCCCTTCCTCAGAGATTCGACCTCCTGCCGACGCAAAGGTTTCCATTTTATACTTTTTTGAGATATCCATTTTTGGTAACGGACCCTAAAACTTTTCTAAAGGCACCTTTGGCGCCAATATTTACTAATATTTAGGGGGGAGCGCGCGCGAAAAGAAACGTAATTTTTTTGTCTACTTTTTCCAACAAGTGTCTAAAAACAAATTGTTTGGCCTGTTTTTCCAAAATTTGCCCCTGCGGTGCAGAAATTTTGGCCAAAACTGGGTCTTTGTAGTGCTTTGGGAGAGCTCGAAAAATCAATTTGGTCGACCTAAAAAAAAGTCGACAATATTTCGAAGTTTTTTTGAAAATCCTAGATCCGCCCCTGCTTAGACGTGTTGATATTTTCAGTTATCATAAATTACAATAAACGTGATAACCCGGTTTTTTGTGACCTTGATAACCCCGAAAAAAGAATCAATAATTTGGGTGCTAACGGGACGCCATTCCTACAAGAAAAGATGCGTCTGCCACTCCTTGCACAACACGGACCCTAACCAAAAAAGCACCTCGTTTTAGTCACCCTATGCTAGTTCCCTACATATTACAACCATTTCCAAAGACCCGCACATTGATTTTAACTTACTTTTAGCGCAGTGTGGCGTTAAGTTGATTAATTTATGATTTGGCATGATTGGCAAAAATAGAAGTTTTGGCATGATTGTTGCTTCTGCTTGCGTACCAATTAAGCTAGGGGGAGGTTTAAAAAAAGTTTTTCAGCTAATCAGATTTGAGAATAATACATGTGGTCCATACTGCATGAATTTGCCATTTAATTTAAGGGAGGAGATTGTTCACTTTGTCTATTTGGCGGGGGGGGGGTCTTCTTTGTCTACATGGTCATTGTTTTCTTACTTGAAGTGAGCACATGATCTGCCTGTAGGTGTCACCGCATTGGGGATGGTGAAGATGAGAGACTCCCACTTGTCCTCGTCATCCTCTTCCGTTATGTGCGACCTCCAACTGGCAACAGCTGCAAATAGCTGGAAATTAATAACAACACGTGTGTGTGTGTGTGTGTGTGTGTGTGTGGGGGGGGGGGGGTTACGTCTTTTTTTCATTCTTTTTTGGTTGCGAGACTTTTCCAAAAGATCTCTTTATTATTTTTCACCACAGTCATTTGTGGCTGACCGACCAGAGCGGATCTAGGATTTTCTCCAGAGGGGTGGGTTTTTTCGGATTTTCCGAAAATTTGAAAATTTTGTCGACCATTGTTTAGATCGACCAAACTGATTTTCTGAGCTCTCCCAAACCACTAAAAAGACCCTATTTTGACCAAACTTTCTGCGCTGCAGGCAAATTTTTGAAAAAAGGCCAAAAAAGCGTTTTTGGTCCTTTTTTTCAATAATGTTGACCGAAAAATTGCGTTATATTTTGGTGCGCGTTTTCCCTCGAAATCAGGGGGCGGATCTAGGATTTTCTCGAGGGGGGGGGGGATTTTCAAAAGATTTTCCAAAATTTTGACGACCTTTTTTTTTTTTAGGTCGACCAAATTGATTTTTCGAGCTCTCCAAAGCACTGTTTTGTCCCTATTTAGGCAAAATTTCTGCGTCGGAGGCAAAATCTTGAAAAACAGGCCAAAAAGGGAAAAATGCGTTATTTTGGCGCGCGCTCCCCCTCAAAGTTAGTATATATTGGCGCCAAGGCGCCTATAGAAAAATTTTAGGGTCGGTCGGCCAAAAATGGATTTCTGAAAAAGTATCAAAGCGGGGGGACCCTTTGGATCGGCAGGGGGTCGAATCCCTGAGGAGGGAGCGTCCGCCCCCCTAAATCCGCCCCTGTCTGTGATGATTGTTTTAAAGATATAAGGGATTGAATTAGGGATAACTTTGATCATTTCAAATCAATTGGAAAAAATGATGAAATAGTTTTGGCTATTGAAACATGAGCGGCAGTTAAAATCTCTCCAAATTGAACAGAGGCAAAAAATTTGTTTTTAATTTCTAGACGCAAAAATGTATAATCTTTTCTTCAAATGGCATTTTTATTTACTTATCAAAAATTATTTTAGCAAAATAATTTCAGCGACATTAAAGGGAAGCTGCTATTTTCCCTGATACGAGCAGTCTTGTTGTGTACTTTGCTCTCTCTCTCACACACACACACACTTACCCTCACACACACACATCAAACGGAGTCTCCTATAAAAAAAAAACTTTTTTTCTCAAAATTTTGGAAACGAATATCAAAAAATAATTACATATTTCTGGTTATACTTTGTAAGATTTACATTTTTATGCATATCTAGATTTGAGGAGCAAGGTGATCTTTGGTACTATCATTTTTTTTGGGCTGATTGAAAACTTGCTAGAAAAACTAATGCAACATTTTTGAGAACAGATCTTAAACTGTTATTAAGTTTGTAATTTGTTTTTTTTTTATTATCATGATTTTCATTTTTTTTTCAATCTTTCTGCTCTTTTCTGTTTTTTGCTTTGGTTATTTAGTGTTTAGATGCATTTCTGGAAATGTACTGGGTTTTTTTTTTCTAAATATATCTCGAAACGTCATTTTTAGTATTTGAAAGCTCTGACTCTTTTATACAATGGAACCAAACGGATTGTCCTACCTCTCCAAAAACATTACAATGTGCCTACACTTCCTTTTTCGGCGCACGATATACCCCCAATTTTGTTGAAACAAAAAGATCCAAATAAGGCACCCTTTAGGTAATGAGGGGGTCGAATCCTTGGAGACATTATATCCACTCCCCCCCCCCCCCTTCAGCCCGTGCAAATTCATTACAGAG